AAATTTTGAGACGAGGTTGACCATACCGCCCATCTCAGGAAAGTCTTAGAAACGGCGAGGAAGTGCAGAATGAGGTTCAACCCTGAAAAGTGCACCTTCGGCGTACGGGCAAGCAAATTCCGCGGTTTCTATTTAACAGAATGAGGGATAAAAGTCAACCCGGACAAGTGCAGGGCCTTTTCTGAGTTCGCCACCCCGAACACAAAGAAGTCTATCCGGTCACTAAATGGGATGCTCACGTCTTTGTCATGATTCGTCGCCATGTCGGCACAACATGCCCTCCCCTTCTTCAAGCTGCTACGCAAAGAGGCGACGCTCGACTGGACGGAAAAGTGCGAGCAGTCTCTCCTCCACCTCAAGACAGTTCTCTCGGAGAAGCCAATGCTGTCGAGACCCGTCGTCGGGAAACTTTATACCTGTATCTCACCGTCGCCACAGAAGTCGTCAGCATAACACTGATCCACGAAACCCCTGAAGGACAGAAACTGGTATACTTCATAAACAAAGCCCTCAAAGGGCCCGAGCTCAGGTACCAGCAGATTGAGAAAGTCGCTATGACCCTCCTCACCACGGCCAAAAGGTTACGACATTACTTCTTGGCCCACACGATCATAGTCAGAATCGACCAGCCCATTTGATAGCTACTCGGGCGACTTCGTCGTTGAGATGGCTTCTACAGAGTCCCTGAGCCCCGGGGCCCACAAATGGACCATCTTCGTCGATGGCGCCTCTAGCTCGACGGGAAGTGAAGCGGACATCATATTATAAAACGAAGAAGGTATCCTGATAGAAGTCTCCCTCGCCTTGGCGTTCCCAATGTAGAAAAACTAAGCCGAGTACGAAGCGTTTCTCGCAGGACTCCGTTTGGCTCAAAACCTTGGCGCGAAGGAAGTGAAGATCTTTACCGACTCCCAGCTCATGGCATCCCAGGTACGGGGAGAATATTAGGCCAAGGACGACAACCTCGCAGAATACATCTCCTTAGTAAGAGAAAAAGTGAAAGGCTTCGATTCCGCAGAGGTGCAACACGTTCTCCGCGAACACAACACCCGAGTGTCGTTACTCGAAAAATACGCGCAACGACGGGGAAGGCGAAAAGGAAAGGACAGAAGAGTCGCCACCGAACTTTATTTATCCCATGAGGGGAAAGGAAAATATCGAGAAAAACCTTAAGAACAGAAATGGATAAAATGGTCTCGCAACCAAGAACGGGTTCAAAAGTCGGTTATGCGAGGGGAAGGTATTAGCACCCCTCGCATCCATCGTACTCGAAGGGAACCATTTGCTTGTCGAATGTGTGAATTTATTTGCTTAAATATTATGCTATAAAAAAAAGGTGTTCCAAAAGATAGGGAGAAAAGGGTTAGAAATAGGGAAAGGAGGTAACAGGGAAGAAGAGAGAAAGGACGGACTCGATAGGACTTCGCGGTCCTAGGCCTACATATTCTCAACAAATATGAGAAAGTCAGAGTCGATGTAGTTCGGGAAACTACGAGTGATAAGGGGGATTGTGCTCGCCAAGGATTGTGGTCCTTGTGCCTACGTATCTTTACTTGAAAAAAGTAAAGAATCAGAGCAGCCGTAGTTCGGCCTATGATTTGTTGATGTTTTTATGGATGATGCTGTCGTACGCATTCTAGCAGTTATGTGTATTACTGCTCGCTGTTGGAGACTTACGCATTACCTGTTTGCGGTGGAATGGACGTATCATATCCTTTTCGAAAGATAAGTTTTCGCCATGCGAGGCAAGATGTCACATTTGATTTGTTGAATTGTTTTTTAGGGGCGAGATAGGTCCTCGGATAGTAACCCCTACGGGTAGTACCCAACTCTTCATCTCAAGGTTTTTGTTATGAAAGGGTGTGGCGAACATAGCATCTTCGTATTGAAAGACGAGTATCAAAACCACACACTACAGTGAGCATCTCGACACTCGGAGAGGAAGAAGTCTACACTTAATCCTCTCTCTTTAGTTCAATACAAAGAGAACTTCATTCTCTTATTTAAGTATTTTTGGTTTTGAATGGTAAGTGCTTTTGCGACAGAGAACCCTACGGTAAACGTCAGCACTCGGGATAGGAGAAGGCCTACGCCTAACCACTCCACGACCATTCAAGTTTTTGTTATGAAAAGAGTTTAAAAAATGCGCTCGGTACGGGACCGAGGTTTTTAGGTGACAAAGGTTGCGGAAAGAAGTTGTAGAGGGAGATAGGTGGCGGATAAAGTCACGTCTTCGTATTGAAAGACGAGTATCGAGACCACCCACACTACAGTGAATATCCCAACACTCGGAGAGGAAGGAGTCTACACTCAATCCTCTCTCTTTAGTTCAATACCAAGAGAATCGATTTATTTATTGTAAGTGTTTGGAATGGCTTATGATCTTATATAGATCCATGTATATATATATATATATATATATATATATATATATATATATATATATATATATATATATATATATATATATATATATATATATATATATATATATATACAT